AGTTATTTGACTTTTTTTTTTTTTTTTTTTTTAAGAGGGGATCTTGTTATATAGTTCATGCTGACCTAAAGCTCACTCAGTATGTAGCCCAAAGTGGCCTTAAATTCTAGATGCTCCATCTTAGCCTCCTGAGTGCTGCTGGCGTTTTGCTTTCTTATGCTACTATATTTGAATAGCAAATAGTTATGCTTAAGTAAATTGCCTTTGAAACTAGTAATGATTGAACAGACGCTAAAAGAATTTCTGCTTCATGTTTTGTGTGATTTTTGTTCTTTTGTTTTTGTTTTTAGCCAAATTTGCAGATCAGTTTGTTTGGGTTGTTTGCTTTATTTCAAGACAGGGTTTCTGAGACAGGGTTTCTCCTGCCTGCCCTGGAACTGCTCTGTAGACCAGTCTGGCCTTGAACTCAGAAATCCAGCTGCCTCTGCCTCTGCCTCTCTTAAAGACATGAACCACCACCACCACCCGGCACAGATCAGTTTTTTTATGTTAGCTAAACAAATTGCTGTTCTATTATGCCCATTTCATTTTGAGATTTGGGGCCTTTTTATGTAACTTAAGATTTGGCTGCATTTTTATGTAACTTAACTACCTTTAACTTGCCGTGATGGTTGTTATTCTAGTCACTTTAATATGTCCTACTTAGTTTTATTTTTTATTTGGATTCTTTGAAAGCATTAGGACAATAGTAGATGAGTGAAGAACCAGTTAAATTGGCAATAAGATTTTGTTTCTCTTAGATGATAAGGCAATAAAAGAAAAGCAGAAAAAAAAAAAAAAGAAAAGCAGAATGAAGAGTTTTAGAACTTGTGCTAATTGCTAACACCTTTTTGTTTATTCCTGGTCTAAAACTTTGCATATATTAGTTTTCAGAATAACCCTGTGAGGTAGGTGCTGTCATTACCACATATGATAAATCTGAAGTATAGCATGTATTTATTGTTTTGCTATGGTCATGCAGCTAGCGAGTACCAAGTCAGAGAGGTACACCTTTAGCCAGTCTGGGCTCAGTACTAGTTCTTAACCTGTCGTACTAATAGCCAAAGAAATTACGGCTTTTTCATCATTACTAGTCAGTTTGCCAGAGCTCTGAAATATGAAAATATTTCATAACATAAACATAAAAAAATTTAAGTGACTTATTGATAGTTTTGTTTTAATTTTTTTAAAGATTTATTTATTATTTATACAACATTCTGCCTGCACACCAGATCTTACTATAGATGGTTATGAGCCACCATGTGGTTGCAGGGAATTGAACTCAGGACCTTTGGAAGAACAGTGAGTGTTCTTAACCCCTGAGCCATCTCTTCAGCCCTGTTTTAAATTTTTGATGAACTAAGCATAAGTTACATTTTTAAAAAATTTAAGAACTAGGGAAGAATGTTCTGGACAGATAGCTCAGTGGTTAAGAGCACTGGCTGCACATCCCTGGGCCTGGGTTTAGTGCCCATTATTCACATGGTGGTTCGCAATCATCTCGAACTCCAGTTCTTAAGAATCTAATACCCTCTTCTGACCTCCATGGCCACCCATCACACAGGTGGTTCAGAAACATTCATGCAGGCAAATATGCATGCACAGAAAAGCGTGGGAAGTCGTTTTCTTTTCTGTCTTTCCTTAAGCAGGTTTTCCAAAGGTTTTCTTTACAGCATACCTTAAACTTGGATTGTTTTGGCAAGCTTTGGAGGCAGAAAGGATGTTTACTAAGAAACATTTTTCCTAGGAAGATGCAACACATACTTGTGTGCTAACTCCACATAGGGAACTTCTGACAGACCAAAGAAAGAAGTATACCACTGAGCAGCTGGGTAAGCCAGTGAGCAGGTAGATGAGACACTGACCTTTTATTGGCATTTCTACTAGGAGTATGGGCAAGGGGTGCCTATAGGAGCAGGCGTTATCTGAGTGCGGCTGTACTGAGAATCCCCTCCTAACAAGGGTGCCATTGGAGAAAGCTGTGTCCTTGGAGCTGTGTGCACACACACTGTGAGACAGGCATCTCTATCTGTCTTAGACTGTCCTCTTGCAGCTGGCCATTATCCTCCCTCATCGGTTGTCATCCCTCTGTAAAGCTAGGGAGGGACCTGTGAGAGTCTTACAAGTTTCTGCTTTCTCGGATATGTGACATTTTGTTCACCTCCTGAGCCTCCTGGAAGGATGTCTCAACTCCAAGGAAACTACTATACAAAAAGGGAGTGATTGCTTTGTAATTGGATAAAGATAGCAGAAAGCTAGATAAACGCTGAAGCAAGAGTCTGAGTGTTTTAAGATAGTAAAAGTAGAGTGATTCTAAAAAGAGTTGTATCCTGGGAAGTGGTAATTGGCTAAGCAGGAGAAACAAGGGTATGGTCTGTGTAGGAGATAATTGCTTCAACAGAGCATGATGCACTTGGGAACCTAGGTGGCAGTCCAGATTGTTCACACTGACTGAAGGTAGAAGAAGAATACAAGAATGAAGTTTAAAATGCAAATCATCTCAGTTCTTTGTCTGCTACTTAAGAGAGATTCAGCTTTGTCTTATAGGAGCTGTTCAGCCATTGGCAATGATTAGAGATAAAATGATCAGATTTGTGCTATTTCAGTTTGGCAGTGGTAGTGGTGTTGAACTGGATGGAAGAAATTATTTAAGTTAATGATCAAACCACAGTGTAAAGTGAGCTATTGATAGTATCGTCAGAAGACAACCTAGGAGATGGCCCCTCAGCATCTGTTAAATGAGCCTAGAAGGACAGAAAAGGGACAGTGACTGCAAAGTGCTGGGTAAACAGTGATGCTCTGTATAGAAATATAAGGCAGGCAGCAACAGATTACTTCCAGGAAGTTGTAAGCTTTCATCACTGAGTCTGGGACACATATAGTATTCCACTGTATTATTTCTTTTCATGTTTTTCTGCTTTTCGGGCTGGTACTTAGCTGATCTTAATATCTCTAACTAGACTTGTATTAGGAAGGACAACTGTGTATGTGAAATTAACTTACAAAATGTTTTCAGGAAATTAGAAAGTCTGTGACTGGAACTGGGTCCTAAAAGGTAAACTCCACCAAGGACAAGACACTAACCTATTACAAGGCTTAAAAGTAAAACCTACATTTTTTTTATTTGGCCCTGCCACCAAAAAAAATTATTTCTCTTTTTTAAATATACTTTTATTATTTTCTGTGTGTGACATCTTTCTCTTCTGTCTCCAAACTAATATCTGTGTTCACGCTAACAGCAGGTTCTGTTGCTGTACCATAGAGTATCCAAAATGAACCACTTCACTGCCTTCCTGCTACCCCTCTAGTTAAACTAGCCTTGTCTCTTGGTTGTACAGTAACAGTACAGTACAGTTGTACAGTACAGTAACAGCTGACAGAGAGATTTCATGTCTTCACGGTTCAGCTTAAGTGACCCTTTTAAATCAATATACATTGGATCATAGAGTTCATGGTTCTCTCTGTAGAAAGCCTTGCAGCATTCTGTAGGGAGCATTCTATGTAGATTCCCGCTCCGGAGCTTATGAGTACTTCGTTTCCTCTTTTCCAAACACTGGTTTGGCATTGCCTGATTTATTTCTTGCTTTAATTTTATTTAAGACTATTATTTACCATCCTGTGGAATAGCCCCTCATTTAATCTCATTTTTGCCCCATTTTATTTTTCTTCACAGACCTAATGTTTTCTGCCTTATAAAAGCAGCTTCATTCACTTCTCATAAAGTACCTGACTCATAATAGGCACTCAGTACATATCTGGTTGGATAAGAGGATGGGTGGGTAGGTGGATGTATGGAATGGGTATATTGATATGGATTGTGAGAATGGTCTTAGCCAAGGAGATAAAAGGTTTATTTTTTTCATTCATTTATTCACTATTTTCTTACCACTAAGCTTATTTCCTATATTCAGCCAGATGGTGGAATTAAAAAAAAAATGAGGAAATATCTCTAGTTTTGATAAGCTCAGTCCTCTATAGTACAATAGCTTATAAATACATTGTTATGTTATGTGTGTCGTTATTAAATAACCATTATTTGAAGCCATAAAACAACATAAGATTATTTAGGAATTTTACCATTATTTTTACTAATTTAATTTTTCCCTCAACATATAGAGTTCTTTGGGCTGGAGAGATGACTCAGAGGTTAAGAGCACTGGCAGTCCTTCCAAAGGTCCTGAGTTCAATTCCCAGCACCCACATGGTGGCTCATAAACATCTGTAATGAAATACCGTGCCCTCTTCTGCCCTGCAGGCACACATACAGGCAGAATACTGTATAAATAATAAAGAAATCTTAAAAAAAAAAAAAGATATAGAGCTCTTTGAGGATTGGAATGAGAAACTCCTATTCAGATTTATATTTTTCCTGCTTTTATCACCTCAGCTAAGCATGGTGCTTATAATGCTTTTAAATGAAAGAATTTCTCTGTAACTTAGTGCTAATCGAATAAAGAATATGCTATGCTGTAGGATCTGATGCATTCAGATCCTAATATATAATACACATATATTTGAGAATTATTCATATCTAATTGTTCAGACCCCTTTTCTTTTGACCAAAGCATGCTGTACCTTGCTCACTCGGTAAGTGCTTAAAAGTAATCAGAAAAGATAAAGAGATAACCATACTGTATGTGGTAGCTCATGCTTTTAATCCCAGCACTTAAGAGAGACAGGAGAATCTCTGAGTTCAAGGCCAGCCTCGTTTACAAAGCTCGTTACAGACTAGTAAAGGCTACACAGTGAGACCCTGTCTCAAAGAACAAAATATAACCAAAATAATATTGTGGTGCAAGAGCTAAATAATTGACTGAGAAGGTATACTTAATGTCTATTGTATTTTACATTTCTTTATTAAATAATCAGCAGCCATTTTTCAAAACTATTTTTCAAAAATTTTGTTAGTTTTCATTTAAATATTAACTTTTTTATAAACTTATTTCAATGTAGAAATGGGAAGAAAGTTCTTAGTAAGGAAAATGAAAATAATGTTGTTTATATGCCTGTTTACCCAAAAGGTGTTGATATAGAAGCAGCTCGAAAAGAAGAAGAGAGGATAATGCTTAGAGATGCAAGGCAGTGGTTAAATAGCGGTCACATCAGTGATGTTCGTCATGCAAAATCTGGCGGGACAGCGCTCCATGTGGCAGCTGCCAAAGGCTACACAGAAGTTTTAAAGTATGTATTATTTGTACAGTTTCTTTATTTTATTTTTCTTTATTTCCTTACTCCTTTTCTTAAAATATGTGCAAATAATATTTTGAAGCAGACTATATAAACATCTGTTCTCAGGAGGAAAGCAAAGTTGATCTTGAGTAGAGTTGCTTTGGTTTCTAAAGTTCTTTCTAAATTTTGAATATTTCTATTCTCTCAGTTTGTTTGTTTCCGTTACAGTTTTCTCATAAAATAGATTTAAGTGTCAACCAGCTATTTTATGTTAACTGTCAGACATAATTGTTAGTCTTCAGCAGTTCCCTTATTCACTACATGATAAGACTAAAGATAATGTGTAAATAGTTTTCTTTTTATTATGGAAGCACTAGAATTCAAGTTGCTAATACTATAATATTAAAGTTTAATCCATAAACATCTGTGACTATATAAGACTGTATGCTGATGAGCTAATTTTCTTTCAGCAGAGTTTGTGTGTGTGTGTGTGTGTGTGTGTGTGTATGTGTGTCTGTCTGTCTGTCCGTCATGTGCACGTGCCTATGTGGACCTGACTTCCTCAATAAAAATAGTAGAGGAGCCTTCCCCATATTTCCTATCCATTTTAATCTCACCTTCAGTAATGTAGTCCTATCTTCGGATAATAAAGTGGTTTAGTTTTCTTGTTCCTACCCGTTTTCTTTCTAATCTAAATCTTGTCTATATTTTTCCAACTCCATTAGTAAGTGATATTTATTTAGTGAGATACTAACCAAATAACAATTATTCTTTACCTCAGCAGTTCCACCTCTAGAAATTTTTTAGATAGTCTCACACACACAAGAAGAAAGGTATGTGCTGACAACATAATTTATAAGTATAGAATGACTTAACAAATCATGGTACATAGTTTCCCTGAAGACTCTGTAGCAATTAAAGTTAGTAAGAATTTTTTTTTACATTATAGAAAGAATGCTAGGGTTATTAAGAAATGTCAGAAGTCAAGTGAAGAATAGTATCAGTTAAAAATTAAAAGTTAGATTTGTAACGAAATGTCTTCTCATGGAGTTGTCAAAATCTATAGTATTGTTAACTTAGTAAAGTAAAATTATTGATGCTCAGCATGGGAAAATGTCTACCTTTTATATTCTGTGTGTGTGTGTGTGTGTGTGTGTTTGGGTTTGGTACTTATATAAATAAATAAGTAAAATGAGTGTTGAAGAGAAGAAACCTGTTTCAAATGCAGTCTGCTGCTTTCTTTTCCCATCAAATTACATAGCTTCTTTCAGTTTGATTTAGACGCCTTTCCCTCCTCTATGGCATTGCAGCTTCATAGAGCCTGTCTGTGGGGCTGGCTGCTCTTCCCATTTTGCCCTCTGTCATCAAAGGTCCTTGAGTATAGGTGCTCTTCTTTTTCTTTGTTCCTTTTTTTTCCTTAACTTTTATTTTGTTTTGTTTTGTTTTGTTTCAAGTGTCCTCATGGGACCTGGCACATTTAGATAAATATGTTTCTTGAAGAAGTTGTATATTCATTCCTACTTAAGTTTTCTCTCTACTCACACTCCCAATTACTTAATAATTTTATGTTGCTTGAGAGATTAACATTAAAGTTCATATTTTTTTAATGACAGTGTGGTTTTATTATTATCTAATATTCTAGTGTTATTTTTCCTCTATGAATACAAATTCTGATCTTAAATATAATAATGGAGATCTGCCTTAACTAGAAAGCTCTGGGATTACATTACCCTGTTTTTGTAATTATTGCTTTTAAATATTAGTTTGCAGACAAGTGCCAGACAATATTATTAGAACCATTTGGATCATTGTAATAAAGATTATTTTTTACAAATATCCTGTTTATGAAATTTGGGATGGATGGATGTAGATAACTGGTACGGTGTTACGTGCCTGCATTCTCACCACTTAGGAATGGTTCACCATTATCTTGACATATATAGCAAGACAGTCTCAAAACCAACAAAATATATTTGGATAGACAGAGCCCTAAGGTGCCAATTCAGTAGTACTACAGTTGAACTGGAGAATGTTTTTTTATTAAAGCAAGTTTCTAGGATGCCTGTGTTACTGACCTAGCTTTGTAAATAGCTGCTGTTGCTAGATATTAATAAATAGGCTGGTTTTTACTTCTTATGTTTTGGCTTGTTTTACACAGTCTTACTCTGTAAGACTGCTGCCTTAGCAGCAGTCATTCTGCCTCAGCCACCTAAGTGCAGGGATTACAGACATGAACATTCATATACAACCATCACCTTTTAACAATATCAGATAGAGGTGATTATATATTAGCTGTCACTACCACCTTCTGTAGGTAAGAAGAAGCCCTTCTCAAGCTCACCATCATGGAAAGTCAGGTAAAAGTATACTAGATTTCTGATGTAAAGCATTGTTTGCCTGCGTGTGCGGCTGTTCTGTGCTATGTGCAATTTGTAGATTCATTATGTGAACTTAATAATTTCTGAATAAAAAAGGTTGGTGTCAATATGCAGTTACAAGGGCATGCTAATTTATGTAACTCTTTGTATTGAATTAAAATTTATTCCTATTTTCTAGCTTGTTAGTGATTGGAATATCTGCTTTCTATTGCTGCAAAATACAAGACTCAGTACCCTTGAAATACGCATTTTGCTTTGTTTGTTTCTAACAGTCAGATTATGGTTTTCTTTTGAAATATTTTGTGGCAGATCATAAAGTTTCACAAAGCCTCCATAAACCATTTTCTCAAGCACAAAGCAACTAAGCATTACAAAATAATCTTCTTGGATTCTGGTATATTTTTAGGCCACATTTGGCCTGAGATGATATATCATCTGGACACCTAAAGATAGCTCCTACCATAAATAAGCTTTACATACAGATAGATCCATTGTGTTTAATCTTACTTTTAAAACTTGGCTTTTCAGTGAAAATTTTTACTTGCAAGTCATACTAACAAAAATTAATCGGTATCATATCAAACTGTAAGAGTTAGGGTCATTAGGAATTAATTAAAACCTCATTATTGTGGCAATGACTCAAGAGTATCTTCTGTAGATTACTTTCTGCTTGCCCTAGTTAATTCTTTAAGAGGAGGAATTGGAAGTCTGGCAAGAATTAAATTTCAAATTGTGGTTAAATTGCATGGTAGAAGGCTATTGATCATGCTTATTAATTTCTAGGTTTTAATGACTAATTCACTGTAATTTCTTTAGACTTTTAATACAGGCAGGCTATGATGTTAATATTAAAGATTATGATGGCTGGACACCTCTTCATGCTGCAGCTCACTGGGGCAAAGAAGAAGCATGTCGAATCTTAGTGGACAATCTGTGTGACATGGAGATGGTCAACAAAGTGGTAGGCCTCTTAAACATATTAACACTAGAAACAGCCCTAACCTCAACATGGTAAAGGATTATGTGATCTTTATCTACTTCCCATTATTCATTCATTAATGTTTAAGTTGTTTCAGCTTTTAAATGAGGTGTTATGGGCCTGTTCTGCAAAATACATTTAGGACTCTTTGAGTAGTCATTTTTTCCTATGTGTACAAAGCGTTTGAGTACTTGCATAGCTACTGTGTTTGTGAGTGCACATAAGGTAAGAAATTGTGTTTCTATAAATGTTTGCTTTTCTGGTTCTCTTTGCTGGATAGTCTTTAGAGCTTGGGCTTGGTTGGTTGGTTGGTTGGTTTTGTGACCCTGTTTGTTTGTTTGTTTGTTTGTTTGTTTGTTTGTTTGTTTTGAGACCCTGACTTCTGTATGTAGCTGAGGTTTATATTGCTCTGTTTGATACTCTTCCTTTCACCTCCCAAGTACTCATATTACAGGCTTTCACAACCCCACCTGGCTGATGACAGTCTTATTATCCCCATTCACAGTAGTTAAGTGACAGTGAATAGTGAAACAAGATTACTGAGTTACAGCATTTACAAGAAACTTCAATTACTTAATGAGCCATAATTGGATAAAAGAAATGAGGGATGAGAAATGAGCTGTGTACATCATATTTTTACAAAATCATGCAGATTCAAGTGATCGAGTTTCGTAGATCACGTATTCCTTTCAAATAGTCATTTTACCAGTGAGCTTTCTAGTGTCCTACTCCATGTTAAGAAACAGGTTTCAGATACTTACACTTGAAAGCTGAAAGTATGTGTTCTGTCTGTTTTCTTCTGAACCCTGGTCTGCATTTCACCTTCTTTCCAGTATCCTTACAGGCCCCTTCCTCAGTATGTGGGTTTATTTAGTATTAGCGACTTCCGAAGAAGATTAGAGTAAGGGTTTTTAATTAATTGAAATAGTTTTCCAAAGCAGTGGCGTAACTTCTGAGTGTGAACATGCTGTGTTTTCCTGACTGGATTGGTAGTCTCCTGAGACACAGGTAATACATAATTGATACGACAGAAGTTATTTACTTTTGCGTTTGTCCTGGGATTACCTTCTCCTTTGGTATAATTTATAGTTATGCACTGAAAGACAGTAAAAATAAAATCATTTTATTTCCTGACATTGCGTTTTCTTATTACTATTACAGCAGCTTTTTTGTCTTCATAAATTTTGATCTTATTCCTTTATTCTATTATGTTAATGGCTCCCTAAATGATATTGAGATAAGTTTGTCCCATATTTTAGTATCCTGCCTGTTTTTTCGTATATTTTATCTAATACTATCTCTTCAACAACCCCTAAAAGTGTGTTTGCAGATTTAGGAATATGCATGGAGAACTTGAATAATTATTTACAACTTTGCTTTGAGGTTTTTTTTTTTTTCTGCTTTTTGTTTCTCTACAATTTCCCTTTATTTATACAAATATTTCTTTCATTTTAAATTTTCTTTTAAAAAGACTTAAAAATATCTTAATAGGCATAAGAATTATTTAGTCATAGTTTTTAAAGTTTCTTTATTTAAAATTTTAATAATTACATAATCTTTTTATTTGAATTCTCTGGGTTTTGTTTGTTTGTTTTATTTTGCTTATATTTTTCTCTTTGGATTTTTATTTTATGTGTATAAGTGTTTTGCCTGCATGTATGTTTGTGCTCCCACACACATGCCTGGTGCCTGCACAGATCAGAAAAGGCTTTCAGATTCTTTGAAACTGAAATTACAGACGGTGTGAACCACTATACGGATGCTGAGAACAGAACCCAGATCCGCCGCAAAGGCAACAAGTACTTTTAACTGCTGAGCCATCTCTCTAACCAGTCTTCTTTGTTTTTACTGGTTACACTTAAAAATAGTGTATCATGCTACATCTGTTTGCTGCCCACTCCTCCACCTTGGTTTATTAAAACAGTCTCTGAGAAGCCCTTGCTGTCCTGGAACACACTATATAGACCAGGCTGGCCTTGAGTTCATGGAGGTCTGCCTCCCTCTGCCTCTCAAATCTAGGGATTAAAGACATGTGGCACCAATCCCAGATCCTTTTCTTTTTGAGAAAATGCTTTCTATAATAGCTTAAGACTATCCTCAATTCATTGAGGCTGACCTCAAACTTCGGATTCTTCTACCATAGACTTTCTATTGTCAGGACTATGGATGTGAACCCCTGCCCAAACTTGGAATATTTTATGTTTATTTAGAGCAAAACACTTGTGTCATTGTGTCTGCGTACTATATGAATTTATTATGTTATTTCATTTTTTCGCTAGTTGTTGGTTTTGTTTGGTTGGTTGGTTTTGGTTTTTCAAGACAGAGTTTCTCTGTGTTTGGTCCTGGCTGTCCTGGTCTTGCTTTGTATACCAGGCTGGCCTTGAACTAACAGCAATCTACCTGCCTCTGCCTCATGAGTGCTGGGACTAAAGGTATGCATCACCACACCTGGCTCACTAATTGTTTTTTAAGAATTATTATTATTTTTTTTTATATGGGTGTTGCTGCATGTATGTCTGTACACGTGTATGTACAGTGCCCAAGGAAGCCAGAAGAAACTTAGAAACTAGAGCTCTCGATGGTTGTGAGGCACCATGTAGGCTCTAGGAATGGAGCTTGTTTCCCATGAGAGCAGTCAGAGCTCTTAACGTCAGAGCCATCTCAAGTCCCTTTCATTAGTACTTATTTAAAAAAAAAAGAAAGAAAACTTTTGTTAAACCTTTTAAAACATCAAGTAAATGCTCCTAAAGTACAGAGTATTTACATGAATTAACCAACAGTAGAAAACATAGTTTAGGGCCTACACACATGCCAATGTACATACACATGTTCACACCATACACATTTATTTATTTAGAGGAAAGAATATAGAGAATGTACAAATTCTGTAAAACCTATAAAGTCTTTCTACATGAAAGTGATGTTCTAAAAGTAAATAGAAAAAATTCTATTTACTCAACTTTTTAACTTGTCTGAAAACTTGTAAAATATGTGTTATCATTTGAGCTCTTAATATTGATTTGAAATCTAAAAGCCTTTTATTTGCTTTGTTGTTTTATTAAAATAGTTGTTTTACCAGACTGTACATATTTTCTCTTTAATATCAAGGATAATACTTTTCCTATTGGAATTTCTGTTAATGAACAATGGATAGAACATAAGTTATTAGCTTGATATCATGCAAGTTTGAGTTGTTTCTGCTAGTAATGAGCACAGGCATTTGTTTTTAGTCATAACACTTCCTGACCTCATTCTTATTTTCTGTGAAGTCAAATCATATGTTACACCAGTACAGACCTGGATCATATCCCCACATTCTCTAGGTAGTTATACACTCAGACTTTCCTGTCTGAACAATGACAATGATAATAATTTTTATCCGAGCTACATCGCTGGTAGTTCTAGAGACTAAAAGGAGCCAAGTCTGCAAAAGCAAATTCATTTCAAACAAGTAAGAAAGAAAATAATGAAGAGACTGTAAAGTTAGATTCAAGCTATGGCCTTGATAGATCAGTGGCTTTGCTAATTAGTAGGTATATTGGACGGATTTTTTTTTTTTAGTTAATTTATTTATTATAATTTATTCACTCTGTATCCCAGCTGTAGCCAGCCCCCCTCATCTTCTTCCAGTCCCACCCATGCTACTCCCTCTATGTGCCTCCCCTAGTCCACTGATAGGGGAGCTCCTCCCCCTCTATCTGACCCCAGCTTATCAGGCCTCATCAGGGCTGGCTATATCATCTTCCTCTGTGCCTTGGCAAGGCTGCACCCTCCACCCCAACCCCCAGGGAGAGGTGATCAAAGAGCTGGCCACAAGTTCATGTCAAAGACAGCCCCTGATCCCTTTACTAGGGAATCATTTGGAAACTGAACAGCCTTTGGGCTTCCTCTGAGCAGGGCCTGTAGGTCCTCTCCATGCATGATCCTTGGTTGGAATATCAGTCTCTGCAGGTCCTTCTGGGCCCAGGTTTTTTGGTTCTGTTGGTCTCCTTGCAGAGCTCCTGTCCCTTCCAGGTATGTCTATCTTCCTCTTCTTCCATAAGGTTTCCTGCACTCTGGCCAAAGTTTGGCTATGAGTCTCAGCATCTCCTCGATACCATGATTTCAAGCAACTTTTGTTCTTTTGATTTGACATGAGTTCTTACTTTCCAGTGTCTCATCACTGTGTCTTTCTTAGTTTTCTTGCAGTTGCTTTACCTGACTAAGCTACTTTCCTGTGCTTGTATTCCGCTAGTAAAGCCAAAGTTCCATGATGATAGTTGCAAGTCTCATAATATTCAGACTCTCATTAAGCATCTTAGTGTCTTACAGAGTGCATAAAAGTCATGGTTATGTAACTGATACATTTTAGTAGTGGGTGGGTGGGTGTATGCTGTTTAAGCTAGAAGTGTTTCTCTGTTTATAGCCCACATTGTACTTTAGTTTTCATTCTCTATCAGTTGCTCTTTGCAAAATAGAGTTGTTAATCAAGGGAGAAAAGGAAAAGAACGGTTAGTAAGGTGACCCAGTTTCTAACTATTAAAAAGAGAGATTCCTGGGTTATTAAAAGAACTCCTTTTTTGTAACTGCTGCAGAGATGTAATTGCAATTCAAAAAAATCATGATAGGATTTTATTCATGAGGGTTGGTAAATTTTTAAGGAATCATTGAGTTATTTGAACATAAGAACATGATCTTAAATCTGTGATAACATGATTTTAAATACAAATTATATTAAAATAGTTTCTGAATTTTTAGAGCTAATTGAACAAAGAGTACAGGATACCAAGACTTGAATTAACTACCTTAAAATTCTGAGCCACTTATTTTATAACAAGTTTTGTTTTTTCACTCAATTAAATTCTTGGCTTTTAACGCATAAGGTTGAAATGAGGTAGGAGAGATGTTAAAGCCTTATCCCTTGGTTTGGGTAACTGCATTATTTCCCACAGGGAATAAAAATGTTTCTTTGAGCTAATTTTTAAAACTAAGCAATCTTTGAGGCTGGTGTGTGTGCACACACGTGCACATGTACGTGCACACACACTTTCACTTAGGTTTTAGAACCTAGAGTTACCACATGACTGCTTTCACTTTTACCGTGGAAATTGCCTATATAATAATACCCTAAATAATACCCTGTTTATGACAGTGCTTTAAAGACTCACTTTTATTATTTTAATTGTTTGTATGTGCATGTGTCTGTGAGTTTGTACACTTGAGTGCGGGTGCATGTAAATGGAGGCCACCCGTACCAGATCTCCCAGAACTGGAGTTCTAGGCAGATACCCAGTGTGAATGCAAGGAACTAAACGTGGGTCCTCTGTAGGAACAGCCTTGCTCTTAATTTATAGTAGTACTTATAATAGGTAGCCAACCAAAGCAGCTGTCCAGTTGATTAAGATTAGCAAAATGTGCACACTGTGTATGGGGTTGTTTAGTAAAGGCGAGTGAAGTAGCCATACATGTCATCACATAGATTAAGCTTGCAGTATATGAAGTGAAAGAAGCCTACCACAGAGCATATCCAAAGAAGTATTGTATAGTTTGACATGTTTCATGAGCAAATATATAGCTATAAGATAGGTTAGAGGTTGCCTTGGGTTAGGAGAAATGGGACAGTGGAATGGAGAGACTAAAGGATAGTCTTAGTCTTTTTTTTTTTTTAATTTTTTTTCAATTTAAGATTTATTTATTTATTATTTATACAATGTTCTGTCTGCATGTACACCTGCATGCCAGAAGAAGGCACCAGATCTCATTATAGATGGTTGTGAGCCACTATGTAGTTGTTGGAAATTGAACTCAGGACCATTGAAAAGGCAGCCAGCGCTCTTAACCTCTGGGCCATCTCTGTAGCCCCATGCTTGGTGTTTTAAGGGTGGTGAAAGTTTTCTGAAATTGTGGTGGTAGAGTTACAGCTGTACATATGCTCAAAACAACACTAATTCACTCTGTACTGAAATACACAGAAGGTATCCTGTGCCACTGTTCCTCACGTGAATTTCTTGTATTCTTAGAGTTCTGTGTGTTCTGTCATTTCTGACTCATAGAACGTGATTCCAGGAGAGAAAGCTTAGTCCATGAAATGCTTGCCTTGCAAGTCTTATGACCTGAGCTCAGTTCCCGGAACTCAGAGAAAAAGCTGGGGGTAGTAGTCTGGGCCTTTGTTCCCAGGGCTGGGGAGCAGAAACAAGTTGAATACTGGCCTGTGAGAGTCCTACCTATGTGTAAGGCCGGGGTTGGGCACACAGGTGAGATTGAACTCTAACCTCCACAACATGCATGCTCACACATGTGCATGTATACCTACATGAACACAAATGTGTGCATGCACACACAATTATCTTAATTTCCTTGTATCGTTCATGCATTTTATGGTGTATTGACTTTTTACTGTTATACTTTTCATGTCCTGTCTAGGGCCAAACAGCCTTTGATGTAGCAGATGAAGACATTTTAGGATATCTAGAAGAATTGCAAAAAAAACAAAATCTGGTATGTTTGAGTGTTGAAAATTGATTTATTGATTTTAATTTTATTAAAATTCCATATCTTTGAATTTGAAGCAGTTTTGGTTTTATGGTGATGTCTCATACTTTCTTAAAGTTACTCTTAGTAATCAAACAAAATGACAGCGGGCTTGAATATAGGGGGAGTGGTGGTAGGTTGCCCGTTATGTTGGTTGCCTATTTTCATCTTGCCTTTTACAAAACTTATAACATGTTTTTCTAATTTCCTAAGGCAATATGCCTAAAAGGTGTGACAGTAAACTGGGTTTGTAAGAGTAGGCCCCAAACAAGCAAGATAACTAGGAAACAGATTCTAAGTAAATTACTATCAACAGTCATCATGAGTAGACAGTGGGCCTGATTCTTTGTGAGCTGAAGTTGAAAGATTTAGTTTTTTTTTTTTTTTAGAAAGGATTATTGTATTTTGTTGTTGTTGTTAAAATTGCAAAGTGTTTTTTGTTTTAATTTTTTTAATTCTATACTTTTCTAATTAATGTTGCCCTTTTTCTTTGCATAATTGTTAATAAGCTCCACAGTGAAAAACGGGATAAGAAGTCTCCACTAATTGAGTCAACAGCAAACATGGAAAATAATCAACCGCAGAAGACTTTTAAAAAGTAAGTCAGTGAAGAAAGCAGGTTTTATTACTGTCATGAGTGGGTTAACACAATGGGTACCAGAACTACTGTTGTGGATCTGAGGGACGATAATAATGTTTGAACCTTTCATGTTTACAATGAGTTGAAGTTTGTTTTCTTTTCACAGCAAAGAAACATTAATTATTGAGACAGAGAAAAATGCATCTCGCATCGAATCTCTAGAACAAGAAAAGGCTGATGAGGAGGAAGAAGGGAAGAAGGATGAGTCAAGTTGCTCCAGTGAGGAAGACGAGGAGGATGACTCGGAGTCTGAAGCAGAGACTGGTAAGATTAGAGAATATGTTAACTATACTGTACTGTTCTTGAGTTTGAAGTGAGGTAAGGCTAGGCCTCAGTTTTAAGCTTTGTTCAGATTTACTGCTTAATACCTGTTGAGTCTATATTGATAACCTGTGAGTTTATTGTTGTCTACTGGTCAAGAGGCTGTGGCTCACCTCTGCTTCTTACAACATGTGTTTAGTCTTGAAGAAGGTGCAGAAGCTTCTCAGAATGTCCTAGAACCACTGTAGGATGGGACAGCTAGAGTTTGGGTGGATTTCCAACAGTTCAAGAACACATCTACTAAGTTCTATGATTCAGGAACCTAGAAGGCTGGCTCTATTACCTTCCCAAATTCTCCATAAGAAATAAAAGGTCAAGGAGAGGAGAGGGTAGCTGAGACAAGTTACTTTCCTGTGGGGCTCTGGAGTAATTTGTTTATTTTGAGAAATTTGAAGATTCAGCAAAATACAATATAATAAACATTCATATTCTATACCTACTAAAACTTGAGACATAATAACTCTTAAGATCAGTCATACCTTCCATTCTTCCTTTAGTAAAATTAAGATATTATATGCATGTATCGTGACTTTCCTTTTCTTCTTTCCCAAAAGGCAATTGAAGGTTTTTCAATAATCTTTTAGTTCATGTCCACTCTTATAGTATACTCAAGTAGTATGTAACAACTATACTGTGATACAGTAGTCATATATTGATAATGTTTATTTAAGCTGAATGGTTGCTCATGAGTTCATTTTTTCTCCTAGAATGTAAGTTCCGTGCAGTTATGATATTTGACACTTTCATTGCTTTATTATCTTCAATGCCTACAACAGTACTTGAAATACGGGGACAGTAGGTTTTGGTTTGGTTTGATTTTGAAGGACACCCTATTAAGTAGATTATTTCTAGAAAGATAAAATTGTGTGTATTTAACTTTAGATTTCTTAAAAGCAAGAAAATTATAGTCTCTGGAACACTTAGTCATATTGACATGACTATAAGTTAATTGTTGTCAAAAGTATTTTTTTAGATTTCAAGAATAATGGTCTTCAGTAATACTTACCTAGTACTTAGAAAATTCATGGCTATTGTAGGTTTTTTACTTATATTGTTGAGCATTCAAATTTTAAATGTTACTTAAGATTTCTCCCTCTAGTTTTAAGAGTCATAGAAGTTAGGTTCTATTTGTGCCTTTTCTCAAAAGGGTTTTGAAGTTTGTTGTTGTTGTTGTTGGAGAAACCCCCCTTAAAACTCAGCTGTTGGACTTGAGAAATAACTCAACAGATAAAAGTGGGAGTGCTAGAGTTTTAGAACCCAGAACCCATAGAAAAACCAGGCAGGCGTGGTAGCTGCTTAGAATGCCAGCTTTCAGGAGGTGGAGGCAGAAAATTCCTGAGGCAAACTAGCCAGCTAGACTAGCTGGAGTTCATAGGCCTCAGATTGCATAATGTTGTCTTTGGACCTCTACAAATGTGAACGTGTACTCACACAAACATTTAATTAAAAAAAAAAAATCTTTTTGCAAATAGTGATAGAAATAAGGAGAGCCACAGCAGCCAAATTCCTGGACAATCTCAGGTCTTAATTTTTTTCCCCTTTTTAATAGATAAGACAAAACCCTTGGCTTCTGTAACTAATGCTCATACATCCAGCACTCAAGCAGCTCCTGCAGCTGTTACAACACCTACTCTGTCCTCCAGTCAGGGAACCCCTACGTCACCTAATAAAAAGGTAAGCCAAAATTCTATTATTAAACATGTATTTATTCTGTTTAAGTACCATTTCCACTAACTGATTAAAATGGTTCTCAGTGTTTAGAGTTGTTTGAAAACATACCATATTTTTCTGCTCTTAATTTGTAATTTCCTCTGAATCATGGTATAATGCCTTTTTTGTCTTTTACAATTGTTAATGTTGATATTATACTGAATATTTAATAAAAATTAGTTACTAATTAAAGTATAGGAAGAAATCAAAAGCTTTTATAATAAAATTGGTAGTCATGGTAGTTTTTCTTTCCATTAAGCTTTTATTTTGAGGAAGTTAAGTTTTGTATTCTTTATCTTTTTTAACTACAAGTTTATACTGGTAATTTCTTACCTCAGAAAGTACAGCATGAAAAGTCAGTGGAGGTGCACAGGTCAGGGGAAAAAAACAGTTATCTAGATTTTTCCCAGCTCATACAAGGTATCTGGCATGTCAGTGTCATCTGCCAGTAAAAATATATTAGAAAGCCAGGTCTCTACCTGGTTAGTTATTTCCACTTTGGGCAGGTTTCTCTACCTGGTTAGTTATTTCCACTTTGGGCAGGTTATTGTTCTTCCTACCAAACAGAACAAAGATAAATAAACTTAGTCTTGTATAAATTGGTTGAGAGACATATCATGATCAGGGATGAAGAATGATCCCAAAATGTTGGCTTTGTTTCTTCTACTTCCCACTCCAGTCTTCACCCAAGCTGTGTTTTCCAGTGCTGTGCTGCTCTTTCTTAAACACAGTGATGAAAAGCTTTTCTGCTCTGCTTTTCTTTACCTTCCAGTCTCTTCATAAAGGCTTCTCCTAAGCAGCCCTGACTTATTAGGCCTTGCTGAATATGTATACATTTTTTTTCTCCAGAACATATAACAATTTATTGTGGTCACCATTAAACCTCATCCTGAATATATCAGTGTGTATCTCCAGGTACAAACACATTATCCTCCAGTCCCACAGTAAAATAGCCATGCTTAGGAGAGTTAACTTTGATATAACACGCACTATGTAATCTATATAATAATATAATCTGTGCTAACTAATATCTATGTGTGTATGCAGGTTTTCTAGATTGTTCTTCCAATAGTATCTTTTATTGCTGTTTGTGTTTCCAGACCACAAGTTTGTGTAGAAATTGGACATTGTTTTGGTTTCTATATCTCTGTTCTGTTGCATGTCTGGCAGTGTTAGAATTGAAGGGATTTTAGCACTGATTTTAAGCCCCCCCCCCCCCCCCCTGTGTTTCTTTTCAGTATTGTCAGTCATGTGCAGTTTTTTTAACCTGCAGTCAGTAT